TCTAATGTCTGATCGGCATGGCAGTATATTAAGTTCTGTAGAGCATTTTCCTGAATGGTAGGAACCCTATGCATACCACTGTTACTGTGTAAGGCACTTGAAGGCCAATTTCCAGAAGAAATATCCCAACAAGTACTTGCATGATTTAATGTGGATGGCTGCAACTGATCACCAGCAGTGCAAATTCAGGAGGCGCATGGAATCGATCTGGCAGTTAGACGAAAGAGCCTATAATTGGTTGATTGCGACATGAGCTTCACAAGTGGACATTGCATGATGATGGTGGCAGACGATGGGGAACCCTGACTACAAATGTGTCGGAGTCTTTCAACAGGTTATTGAAGTCTGCATGTGGATTGCCTGTCACTGCCATGGTCCGTATGACATTCAAACAGATGGTGGAGAGGTTTGTTGAAAGGCATAGAGGTGCATCGGAATTGAAGGAGAGGGGTGTTGAATTTATGCCAATACCGATGAAAAGATTTGAGAAATACAGGAGGCGAACACATTGGCATTCATATTTACAGTATGATCACGACTGGGGTATTTTTGAAGTTCGCACCGCTATCTGTCAACACCGGAGGAATAAACTACACATCATAAATGAAGCCAGCAGGTTGTGTTCATGTGGGAAATGGACCATCTACCGCTAACATACCATGAAGTGCTTTCAACAAACAGGTTTAGGGGCAACCAACTATGCTGATAGGCAATACAGTGTTGATGCATACTCAAACATATATAGTGGGCAGTTGCAGCCAGTGGGTGCTGAGCATTATTGGCCGCCGGAAACATTTAAAATGATGTGTGACAAGGACTATTTGTGCAAGCTACAAGTGCAAAAGAGAACGCGTATACGAAACCAAATGAATGTTGGTGATACCATTTATGCGCGTAAATGTGGCATATGCTCGCAAACAGGACACGATCGTCGTAAATGTCCTTCAGCTGGTTTGGGTGGCGGTGGTAATCCAGCTCCTGGTGCAAGTTCGTCTAATGTTCTCAATTATCAAGGATACACGTAGTGTTTTGTTTTCGTAATATTTTTTGTAATAAGTGTTTGTACTTGTTTATGTTGCAAGATGTATCAAATAGAATTATGTTTCCACAGCCTTGTTACATCTTATTGATATTTAACATTTTTTAGTTAAGTAAATTAATGAATTACTCCCTCCCGTTCATGTAATCAAAAATAGTATTGGATTAAAAAAAAGAAAATTTTAACGTTCACTTTAGAGTTTCACTCTAAAATTATTAGAAAACTACACTGTCAGGGGAGGAAGATGTTTGATAAATAAGTAAATATATATAGCGCGGTTAAAATTACGTTTTGTGTGTTGCCTTGTCGATCTGAAAAGCTGCCCGACTGCGAAAAAGTTATTTCGTATCAGAAAGAATCTTTAACACGCCAAGCATAGCACGTACGTTTTGTGTGAATATATATAGCGCGGTTAAATACTACATTTTGTGTGTTGTCTTGTCGATCTGAAAAGTTACCCGACTGCGGAAAACCTGTTTCGTATCAGAAAGAATCTTTAACACGCCAAGCATAGCGCGGTTAAATACTATATTTTGTGTGAATATATATAACGCAGTTAAATACTACGTTTTGTGTGTTGTCTTGTCGATATGAAAAGCTGCCCGACTGCGAAAAAGTTGTTTCGTATCAGAAAGAATCTTTAACACGCCAAGCACAGCGCGGTTAAATACTATATTTTGTGTGAATATATATAGCGCGGTTAAATACTACATTTTGTGTGTTGTCTTGCCTATAAATAACGGACGCATTCTAGTTATTTTCTGCGCTTAACCATAACAAATAGCATAACTTTCCATAAAAGCAGGGTTTTTTTTCGCTTTAACAAATGTCTGACCGCATGTATGTACCAATATGCCAATGTGGCAAACGCTGTATGATGGCGGACTGTTGGGATGACGGTCAAGTTGGCGTAGATACTGAATGTGTGTGAACATGTTTGGAGGCAACAACAGAAAGTTTTGCAAATTTGAGGTATGGATTGGTGAACCCTGTCAGCAGGAATGCTACAAACAATCTTTGCAGTTTCTTCATGATTTGACCAAAAAATAGTGGGAATATGAACGAGAATACAAACAAGAAATTGCGAGTTGAAGGAGAAACTCAAAGAGGTGGAAGAAGAAAAAAATAAGCTGGAAGATAATTTTATGTGGTTGGAGCAGAGAATACTAGGCGGTCGTGACTAAACAATGACATGTATGTGTTGAATGTAGTAGTTTATCTTTATGTTTCCCGTGTCATGTGTTTTCATTAGTTGTACTGAATTTAAGTTATGGTTAAGTTTCTATGTTTGTGTTTGTGTTTGTGTTGTAGTATTGAAATAAAGAAAAAATGGGGAAATAAAAACATAATGCGCATATTATGTAAACATAAAAAAGTTGTTGTTACTATTTACATAAAATAATATTTACATAGCGCACATAAAAAACAAAAAAAGAAAATCAATGTGTCCCACAGCCGGTGTGCTTCAATGCAGCCGCTGGCCTGAGGCGTGTCCCATCCTGCCCGGATGCGCTATCAGGATCATCCTCATCATGTCGCCTCTTTATCGGAGGATGCGCTGCAGCATGATCGTCAGTAGTGCTGGCAGGATCGGTAGAAGGGGCCGTCGGTCCATCAGCAACCTACAAAAGAATAAGTCAGCTTAGTATATGAAAATATATATTTGTAACGTAGGTGTTAAGTAAAAAAAAATTCTTACCATGGTCTCGTCGGGCTCCTGAATATAAGCATCCGTCGCATCCTGCTCAGCATCGTACAAAGTGGCCTCCGTGACGGGCTGGGATGAAGCCTTAATAAGAAAATTATAAAGTTATTTATTGCGAATCAATGAGATAAAAACATATTTAAATTTAATAGTAATACAAACATACCTGCTCCTGTGAAAGATCCACACCACCCGTCGACGATGAGCCATAACTCAGCCAGCGCCCACTATCCACATCTCGGGTCGGCCGATCCTCAGCAGCAGTCGATGGGCCTGAAAACATCTGCTCTCAATCATGTCCGGTAATGCTCGTGCCTGTGATCAACAATGGATCTGAGGGATCACCTGTGGTGCGGCTGGAGTGAACGCCAGCTGAAGGCTGTACGACTGCATGCTGCTGGGATGCTCGTCTGGCTGATAGAGGTCACCCGGCAGATCAGCTCCAACATCATCATCAGGTGTCTGAATAGGTGCCTCAACGCCCCCTTGCTGCGGACCACCTCCTCGCCGGCCCCCACGACCCCGTAGGACAGCCCTGCCTCGTGGGGCACCCCTGTCTCGTGGGACAGCCCTGCCTCATCGTCCCCTAGCTCGTGGGACAGGCCTACCTCGATGGTAGTGCTCTGGCCCCACATAAGTAGGGACGTGCTCTAAGCACTCGTCCTCTCTAGCTCGATGCAGTGTCCGGGCAGCCAGCTTTGTAACCTGCCGGCCTAACTCCTACAAAGCGACCGCAGGATTGCCAACGTGTTGCTGCATCTGCAGTCCCAACTGGTGGACTAAATGTAGGCCAATAGCCTGCATATCATGTAAAATATAAATTACGGAACGCTAGATCACGTTTATAAGTAAGAATACCAAATAACATATCAGTGCCTTGTGCCTCCCGGCGTATGGAACGTACCGACCGCCAGCTTGATGAATGGGATTCCCGACGATAAGTCGGGTAACGCCGCGGTACCAACCCATGTAATCATGCTCAGTATCTAGCCGACTCGGTGAAGGGGGCGGAATCAGGTCAGATCGCTGGTCCCAAGTAAATATCTGTTCCTGTAGCCATGCTAAAAATGCGTCGTCCACCCTGGTACGATCATCCCGCTGGTAGTGTGTGGTCTCCCAGGTGGGCGGCGTCGGTACGAGCTGCAGACGGCCAAACTGGCGAAGTACCCACTCGGTGGCATGATGTTCCACAATATCAAGGCAGAACAACGGGACGAAAAAGGCCCACATAAGTCGGTCGGCCGAGCAATAACAGGGCAAGCCAGTTATCAACTCGTCGATGTATGGTGTCTAGATGAACTATTAAGTAAGAACAGAAAACGTCAGTATACGCAACTTGTGTTTAGAGTGTATTACAAGTAAACTTAGATATATATTTACCTGTGCGCCATCCAGCAAATCCAATATATCCCTCAACAAGGAGAGATTATGCCAAGCCTCGTACTCGCGCATATATCCCCGCCGGAGAACCCACCTCCTAGCTAGAGGGAGCAACTCCAGTGGTACATCCGGATCTAATGGTGGTAGAGGTGGCTGCAACTGCAGGAACCACTCCCATGCCCAAACCTAACATAAGAAGTTGACGTAAAATTTAAGATATATTTTTACTAGGTATGTTAAAATGAATAGAGTATTCGAATATGTTGTCACCTGTAGTAGCAGCAAAAATCCAGTAACGTCACTCTAGGTGCCCATGCTCGCCCGGCACATATGCCTGTATAAGTTGGCGAGAACAGCAGAGCCCCAGCTGTACTGGGGTAAATGATCTAGCCGCTCAAGATGATGAAGAAATCTCAAGATGACTAGGTTCCTCGAAGTGTTCGGGAACAAGACCCCTCCAAACATAAGGAGTAGCAGCAACCTCGTATACCGGTCAACATGATAATCTGGTGTATCGCCATCGATCTCAGGATGCAGTGCCTCTAACCACTGTTGAATAGTCGTCAACGGAAAATGACTAGTCCCATGCAGTACATTCTCATCCTCTGGCTGGAAAGTAGTGAGTCGCTGCAGCATGTCCAGGTACTGCACACGTGTCATCTCTCTCATGCCAGGCGGGAGAGCAACGGGCAGCCCATATAAAACCTCCATGTCCTGCAGTGTGATGGTGGCCTCACCAATGGGTAGGTGAAATGTGTGCGTCTCCGGTCGCCACCGCTCTATCAGGGCCGTGACCAAAGACCAATCGAGCTACAACCGCCCGATCTCCAAAATCCTGTAGAAACCCGTCTCCCGCAAGCGTGTGACTACACGATCATGGAGAACTCTGTCATGCAGAAAGACCCACATGTCGTCCACTCTCCTGGCGCGGAGAGTCTAGGTCAGTAACTCACCCTCCCATATGTGGTAGGACTTATGATCGCCCTATAACGAGAGTACCTCATCGCTGGAAGGTCCAGGATGAATAGGCGGCACCTCCATGTCGTCTACTGTAAATTAAACAACATTAATTACATGTTAGTTTTATAATTTTATATGTTTGTTTGTAAATTAAATAATTAAATTTTATAATTATACAATATTTAATATTAAAAATTCACATATGGGTTCCAGGCTCGATATTTGCGGCCCAGTAGCACCAACATATCCTGAATTCTTGTATGTATTAGTTTTATTATAATTTTATATGTTACTTTATAAATTAAATAATTAATTTTTATAAATAAATATTCACATCTGAGTTCTAGGCTCGATATTTGGAGCCTAGTAGCACCAATTTATCATGAATTCTTCTATGTGTTAGTTTTATAATTATATATGTTAGTTTGTAAATTAAATAATAAATTTTTATAAATAAATATTCACATATGGGTTCCAGGCTTGATATTTTAGAGCCCAGTAGCACCAATTTATCATGATTTCTTCTATGTGTTAGTTTTATTATTTTACATGTTAGTTAATAAATTAAATAATTATTTTTTATAATTAAATATTAATATATGGGTTCCAGGCTCCATAATTGTGGCCCAGTAGCACCAAGATATCCTGAATTTCTTGTATGTGTTAGTTTTATTATAATTTTATATGTTAGTTTGTACATTAAATAATTAATTTTTATTATTAAATATTCACATAAGGGTTCCAGGCTCAATATTTGGAGCCCACTAGCACCAATTTATCCTGAATTCTTCTATTTGTTAGTTTTATTATTTTACATGTTAGTTTTATAATTTTATATGTTTGTTTGTAAATTAAATAATTAAATTTTATAATCATACAATATTTAATTAATAAATATTCATATATGGGTTTCAGGCTCGATATTTGCGGCCCAGTAGCACCAATTATATGTTGATTATAATTGGACAGAGTATGTATTTGATCTATCAGTTATTTTGACGTATTTTTGAGTATAAGAGATACTTAAACTACAGGGAAACTACGCTAAAAGGCACTACATTTTACTACGCTAAAAGGCACTACATTATACTACGCTAAAAGGCACTACATTATACTACGCTAAAAGGCACTACATGTTACTACGCTAAAAGGCATTACATTTTACTACCTTAAAAAGGCACTATACTACTAGTCTTTAAGCAAATAAAATATTTATACCAGATAAAACACAACAAATATGTTATAATTACAAAACATTCACAAAAATACATATAAAACAGTAATACTAATTTATTAACAAATAATAACGCTAATTTTTACATTATTTTTTTACAACATTAATATCTTTCCAGATAAAAATAACATACCAATTTAATCGCAAAAAAAAACACAAAACAACATACAACACATTCAAAATAACTAATATGCATTATTTATACGAGTATGGACATAAACTAAATCGGAATACCTCGATTTATGTTTTTCGAAAAGTTGAAGATTTGAAAATTTGACTCCGAAACAATAACCCACAACAATAGAAGGCTTGGCTAGGATGTGGGACCAACTTTGATTAGTTTTTGTGGGACGAATGGGGTCCACTCGAGTTTTTTATCGAGTTAATGGGGGAGGGGGGACCGCTGCTTCGTTTTTAAAAAATGGAGCCTTGAGTTCTGTCCAGAACGTGGGGG